TAAGGTGTGAGGATTAGGTGGGCATTTTTTAAAATTTATGGATGTCCAGCAACACATGTTAAAAAGACTCTCCTTCCTCCATTGAATTGTGTCTGCACTTTGGTCAAACATCAGTTGAGCATAGTTGTGTGGGTCTATTTCTGCCTTTCCTAGTCTATTCCAGTCATCTATATACCAATTCTTCCGCAGATACATACCATTTTGACTACTGTAGCTAAATCGCTGGCTTTAAAATTGGTGAGAATGATTTCTCTTGTTTCTCAAGATTATTTTAGCTATTCTAGCTCCTGTGCCTTTCCATAGAAAGTTTAGAATAAGTTTTACTATGTCTACAAAAACCTCTCTGTGATTTTGGTAGGAACTGTATTAAATGTATCGATCAATCTAGGGAGAACTGACATCTTTATGTTGAGTTTTCTAATCCATGAACATTGTACGTCTCTTCATTTATTTAGATCTTCTTTCATTTCTTTCATCAGCACTTTGCAGTTTTCAGCAAAGATGTCTTGTACATGTTTTGCTCGATTTATACCTAAGTATATCATTTTTGGGGGAACAATCATAAGTGGTATTATGTTTTCATTATCAGTTTCCACAAATTCATTCCAAGTATCTAATATTACAATTGACTCCTGTGTGTTGATGTTTTTCCTGTGACCTTGCTGAACTCATTTACTAGTTCCAGGATTTTTTTAAATAGAATCCTTGAGACTTTCTATGCAGACACTGACGTCATCTGCAAATAAAGACAGTTTTATTTATTCCTTTCCAACTTGTATAGCCTTTTATCTCCTTTTCGCCTTGTGGAGGGGCTAGAGCTTCCAGTTCTCTGTTAAAATTGGTGAGAGAGGACAGCCCTGTCTTTTTGCTAATCTCAGGAAGAAAGCAATCAGTCTTTCACCATTAAGCATAACGTTAGCTGTTGGTTTTTTGTAGACATTTTTTTTATTAAGTTGAGGAAGTCTTCCAATTTTTGAGAGTTATTATCATGAAAAAGTGCTGAATTTTGTCAAATAGTTTTTCTGCATCAACTAATATGATCCTGTGATTTTTCTTCATTAGCTTTTGTTGTGCGTTAAGCTGGGTCCCCCCAAAAGATATGCTTAAGTCCTAACCCTTGATACCTATGAATGTGGCCTTACTTGGAAGTAGGGTCTTTGCAGAGGCAATCAAGTTAAGAAGCCATACAGAATTAGGTTGGCCCTAAATCCAATGACTGACATCTTACAAAGCAGGAGAGAACGAGTCAAGGCACACAGGCCTCTGTTGAGATGGAGGCAGAAAGTGGAGTGACGCAGTTGCAAGCCAAATAATAGCAAACCAAATGTCCGCAACCACAAGAAGCTACCAAGAGGCAGGGAAGGATTCTCTTCTAAGGCCTTCAGAGAGTATGATCCTGCTGGCATCTACATTTTGGACTGCTAGCCTCCAAAACTACGAGACAATACATTTCTGTTATTTTAGGCTATCCAGTTTGTGGTACTTTGTTATGGCAGCTCTAAGAAATACAGCCTGTTAATAATGGTGGATTACATTGATTTTCAAATGGTGAACCAGCCTTGCAGAACTGTAACAAATCCCACCTGATAAAAATGTAAAATTCTATTTATATATTGCTGGATTCAATTTGCTAACTTTTTTTTTTTTTTTTTTTGGGGAGGAAGATCAGCCCTGAGCTAACATCCATGCTAGTCCTCCTCTTTTTGCTGAGGAAGACGGGGTCTGAGCTAACATCTATTGCCAATCCTCCTCCTTTTTTTTTCCCCAAAGCCCCAGTAGATAGTTGTATGTCATAGTTGCACATCCTTCTAGTTGCTGTATGTGAGAGGCGGCCTCAGCATGGCTGGAGAAGCGGTGCGTCGGTGCGTGCCCGGGATCCGAACCCGGGCCGCCCGTAGCAGAGCGTGCGCACTTAACCACTAAGCCACGGGGCCGGCCCTGCTAACATTTTGTTAAGGAATTTTGCATCTACATTTACAAGGAATATTGCCCTGCAGTTTTCTATATTTGTACTCTCTTTGCCTGGTTTTTCTATCAGGGAAATACTGGCTTTATCAAATATATTTGGAAGCATTCCCTCCTATATTTTGGAAGAGACTATGGAGAGCTGGTGTTGATTCTTCTTTAAACGTTTGGTAGAATTTCCCAGTAAAAGTATCTGAGCCTAGAGACTTCCATTTGGAAGCTTTTATAGATTCAACTTATTTAGTAGTTATAGAACTATTCAGATTGTCTATCTCTTTCTGGTTGAGTCTTGGTAGATTGTGGTTTTCAAAGAATTGGTCCATTTCATCTAAGTGGGTGACTGTATGAGCATAAAGTTGTTCACAGTACTTCTTTATTATGCTTTTAATGGCTGCACAACAATATCCTGTTTCGTTCTTGATATTCATGATTTATGTCTTCTCTCTTTTTTTCAGTGTTGCCTGAGATTAATTTTATTGATTTTCTCCCCAAAGAACCAGCTTTTTGTTTCACTGATTTTATTATTTTCCTGTTTTCAATTTCACTGTTTTCTGCTATCTTTACTATTTTCTTTCTTGTACTTGCTCTATGTTGTTCTTTTTCTAGTTTTTTTTTTGATGTAGAAACTTGGAGATATTTCCTCTTTCCTGTTGTAAGCATTTAGTGCTATAAATTTCCCTGTTGGTATTGCTTTCTTTAGTTGCCTCCCACATATTTTGATATGTTATATACATAAAAATAAATATTATTATATTATTTATAAATATTAAATATACATGTTTTTTGGTGAGGAAGACTGGCCCTGACCTAACATCTGTTGCCAATCTTTCTCTTTTTGCTAAGGAAGATTGGCCCTGAGCTGACATCTGTGTCAATCTTCCTCTATTTTGTATGTGGCACACTGTCACAGCACAGCTTCATAAGTGGCGTGTAGGTCCGCGCCCAGGATCCGAAACTGCGAACCCCGGGCCACTGAAGCAGAGTGCACAAACTTAACCACTATGCCACTGGCCTGGCCCATATTTTGTTAATTTTCCTTGTTTTATGTATTTTTTCAAAATTTCCCTTGAGATTTCCATTTTGACCCATTGCTTAGAAGTGCATGGTTTAATTTCCATGGTTTGAAGGTTTTTCTGTTATCTCTCTGTTATTGGTTTCCAGTTTGATTCCATTATGGTCAATGAAGATATTCTATATGATTTCAATTCTTTTAAATTTGTTGAGGCTTGTTTTATGATCCAGGATATAGTCTATCTCTATGTTTTGTGGGCTCTTGAAAGAATATGTATTCTGCTGCTGTCTGAGTGTTCTGTAAGTATCTAGTAGATGTTGTTGGTTTGTGGTGTTCAGTTCTTCTTGATTTGATTTTCTGTCAAGTAGTTCTATCAATTGCTGAGAGTGGGGTGTTGAAGTTCTAACTATAACTGCACGTTTGCCTACTTCTCCTTTCAGCTCTACTGTTTTTGCTTTATATATTCTGAAGCTCCTGAGTTTTTTCTGCCTATATTCTTTTATCAGTATGTAAAGTCCTTCTTTGTCTTTAGTAATTTTCTGTCTTCCTAAGTCTCCTTTGATATTAATATAGCCACTCTTGTTTTTTGATTAATTTTCACATTATATTTATTTTTCCATCATTTTACTGTCCATCTACCTATATCATTGTGTCTGAAGTGAGTTTCTTATAGACAGAAGGTAGTAGGATCTTTGCTTTCATCCACTCTGCCAATCTGTGTTTTAATTGGTATGTTCAGACTATTTACATTTAAGGTAATTACTGATACTTAAGGCTAAGTCTGCCATCTTATTGTCTCTTGTGCTTCTTGTTCCTCTTTCTCTTTTCTTTCCTTCCTGTGAATTTACTTGACCAATTTTTAGTATTCCATCTTTATTTATTTGTACGAATATGATTTTAAATCTTAGGCAAAGCAGTTGAATAAAGTTTTAACAGTCAAGAGACTTAGAGCAAAGGTGGTGATTAGTATGTACATATCCAAATAGAAGATTTAGGAATCGTAAATATTTTCAGCTGTCAAATTACCTTTCTTGAGATAGTTTTTGAAGAGTGAGTCCCAAAAAGCAATAATAATCTTTTAGTATGGCTTAAAATGTTACCAGGCAAGCTTTTAAATATATTACTACTATGATATGGCATGTTTGTGGTATAAAAAGATGTTTAGTGGCCCATATCCTGTTTCCACCAAAGGCCAACATTCCCTGACCTTTGGAAATCTCACCCTCTTTTCAAACCTCAGGGTATACTCGTGAGGCAGAATAAGTAGGAGGTGCAGCCACTCTTGTACTTCCATTCAGAGACTCAACTGTCAGGACCTTCACCCCTGCTCACAGACATCAGTCAGTGCCATCCATCTCTGACTCATCTTGAGGCTTCAAAGAAACTCTCAGAAGTTTCCAAGTAGAATTCACGTGACGCAATGGGAAATGTGAGCGATTCTCTGAAAACTTACACTTCTCTGCAATGACTGTATTTAAGATGAATGACACACAGTCTATCAGGAGAAATATTTGCAGGTATTTGCAAAGTACTATCAGCCATTTTTATTATATGTAGGCTTATTAAAATGCTATTCTCAAGTTCAACAACAACAAAAACATTTGTTGAGGGCTTGCCCTGAATCACTCCAAAAGTGTCACATATGTTAAACAAAAGGTCTTCTGGAAAATAAACTTCCTGAGGCTTATGATGCATGTACATCTGAGCATCCTGCGGACTACTGTAGACTGTTAAGTAACAATCTAGTACAGCACTTCCACAACTACTGGGGGCTAAGGAGGTCATCCTGTCACCACCTGGGGAGACGGTAACACATGAATTTTACTAAAACCAATGCTGTCACTTATTCATTAGATTGGGTTTTCAATCAAGTACACATAGCCTTCTGAGGCAAAGGATAATTATGATTTTTCTTGAAACTGGAAAATTGTGACTCTGTCTTTCCATTCTACTGTGATTGCAATACAGTCAAGTGAAAGACCAATTTCATGCATTTATACTGGATGTTTCTGGGGAAACTAACCTTTGACCCGGACATCACTGTACCGCTGAAAGTGGTGGTAAGCAGCCTTCCAGGGGTTCCGATAATGACGGAGCAAAGTAATGGGAGGTCTTGGACGCACTGGGACGTACCTCACCCCTTCTTCATCTATTCAGGAGGGAAGAAAAAGAAGACATTCAATAGCTTATTATATATTTCCAAGAATCCCCAAGGTACAATTCTAATAGTGAGCCATAAGTGAAATCTGACTATGGAAACAGCCTCAGGGATGGACTCCTGACGTAAGTGGAAAAGCTTCATGTGACAATAGTTAGCCCAAGTGACCATTACCGATATACTCCTTGGGAGGAGACTTGCGCTTCTCAGCCTTCACCAAAAGACTCTTAGCAGTGGACTTCTCATCATCCGTGCTGTTCGTCTCCATCATATCCCCTTCTTCTGTTGAAATCACGTGCTGTTGCTTTCGAGGCTTTTTCCTTGGGGAAGCACCAGGTGGCAGGTCACTTGTAGGCATGGACAGGTTGTTAGCCAGCAATGCAAGAGCTGGAGATACAGTGTTGGTAGCCAGTGGAGGAACTGCTGTCATAGAAAGAGTGCGCATATGTGTGAGAAACCAAACATAATGGAAAACTTCACTTGACTGCCACCGAGGAGAACAATTAAGACAGAAAAGAGAGCTAACATTCATTGAGTCTTCCTATGCGCCGAGCACTGTGCTAAGCACTCTAACTGTGGCAGAGGCTGCCAACTGCTTCCTAATACCCCACAACTTCACCTTCCTTAGTACAAGGACCCTTACTTTTAGAGGGGCACAATGCCATTCAGCTGGAAGACTCTGTTTACTAGCCTCCCTTCCCTTACAGTTAGGTGTGGCCATACGCAATGAACATAGAAATGTTTTGAAGCACTTTTAAGAAGTTTCCTTAAAAGAAAGGTGTGACCTTCTACTCCTTGTCTTTCCTGTGACCCTGGAACTCAGATGTGATAGCTGGAGTTCCAGCAGCTATCTTGAATCAAGAGCGTGGGAGTCAAATCCTAGAGGCAGTAGGAGCCTGGATCCCTAATGATTTTATGGAATTCACATACCATCCCTGGACTGCCTTCGCTATTCTTGGAGTACACCAAGCATGCTCCTATTCTGAGGGCTTTTACACTTTGCTGTCTTGGTCTGGAATGGTCTTTTTCCAGATATCCTCATGGCCAGCACTTCATGTCTTTAATGTCTCTACTCAAAGATCACTTCCTCAGTGAGACTTTTCCTTTAAAACTCTGTTTTGTGTGTGTGTGTGAGGGAGATCAGCCCTGAGCTAACATCCGTGCTAATCCTCCTCTTTTTGCTGAGGAAGACCGGCTCCGAGCTAACATCTATTGCCAACCCTCCTCCTTTTTTTCCCCAAAGCCCCAGTAGATAGTTGTATGTCATAGTTGCACATCCTTCTAGTTGCTGTATGTGGGACGTGGCCTCAGCATGGCTGGAGAAGCAGTGCACAGGTGCGCGCCAGGGATCCGAACCTGGACGACCAGTGGCGGAGCGTGCACCGCTAAGCCACCGGGCCGGCCCTAAAACTCTTTTTAACATCACAGCTCCAGCCCTAATGTTCCCTTCCGTTTTGTCCCTGCTTTATTGTACTGTCTGTCGCCCTTGCTAGAGTGTAAGCTCCAAGAGGATGGAGATGTGCTTGTTCTGTACAAGACTCTACCATCAGTGCCTGGTGCAGAGCCCTCCAGTTTCAGGTGGGATTACTGGATTACTGCCAGCTTCCCAGCAGAGCGGTGAGAAGAAATATCCCAAACGAGAGCGCAGATGAGCAGCAAGATGGAGAACATTTCGTTTCCCCTCCTGCGTTATCTATGGTATCTTTCAATGCAAGTGCCGAGGCTAAATGTGGGTACCAGAGAAGGATATTTCATGGCATCATAAATGAAAATAAATAAGTAAGCAAACAAATAAACAGCAGGTTTAAAATCTGTAGACACAGCACGACCACGTCTCTTTCCAAACAAACGGCATGGAGAATGGAGGCCTTCATGTGCTGAAACGGTGAGAGGGCGATGCCGGGTGACTGGAGCAAAGAATGATTTGCTTTCCACTTGGGCTCTGTCAGTAGTTTATAAATTTCCCACACTGAATGTTACTTTTGTAGTCAGGAAAAACAAGGTTCTACAATAAATTATTAAACAAAACAAAACAACAAAACCTCCAAAGTGACGTGCCTTTCATAAACTGGAAGTTTAGAGTTGAAAAGAGGAAAGAAAAGGGGTAATGAATAGTTTTAAGATTCTACTTATCACATATAAGTTTATCAAGAGTATTTTCAACAACATAAATCTCACTTTATTACATAGCAAGGCAACAAAAATTAGCATGAAACAAATTATAAATAACCAGTACTTAGCTATGATCATATCTTGACCCCTTTTACACGGTAGTATTTTCTTAATGAATACAAAGAAGCTCTATTTAAGGCTATTCTTGGGGAAATATTAATCTTTTCCATGATTTTGGCAAGAAATAAAATTAATTATAGAAGGCAGCAAAATGGTCTGTTTTCAAAAGAAGTTTAATGCTTTCTTCTATTTATTAAAAACTAACGTTATACAAATTTAAAATGGGCATCAAGGAATCAGGCTTCCTGGCAGAGGCTTACACAACTGTCTGGACGCTGAGGCGAGTTAGGAAAAAGGGAAGAAGCAACTACCAATGAAGAGGATTCTGTGAATGAACTCACCAGAAACCGGCCTCATGATGTCCATAGGTTCCACTTCTTCTTTAACTTTTATCTCAGGTACAGGAGGGCCCAAAACGGAGGAGAGACTGCCACCCACAGCTGCTGAGGGTGCAGGGGCAGCTGCAATGGTAGTGACGGGTGGAGTGACGGGAACTGCTCCAGGAATGGTTGAAAGGGCGACCGCTGGTTGTGAGGGGGGACTAGCTGCTGTAATCATGGTTGGAATGGTTGGTGGTGGCTGCTGAGTGGTGGGAGGGACTGCAATGGTGGGCTGATCATTTTGATTGGACACGGTCTCCATGGACACAGTGACTGGAGTGGCCATCGATACGTGGATTTCTGACTTAGGTTTGGCACTGGAACACAAAAGCAAAGATGATATAGCAAACAACAGAAAACTGCCTTAACCCACAACATCTCAGAGGATGGGTATTTGTCCAATTCTTTTTGTACAATACACAGCACAAGTAAAATTCTATTCCTTGATTCTAAAAGTTGAACTTTAAGAAACTTTTAAAAGGAATTCAAGTTTTCTTTTTTTTTTTTTGATGAGGAAGATTGGCCCTGAGCTAACATCTGTGCCAATCTTCCTCTATGTTGTATGTGGGACGCCGCCACAGCATTGCTTGATGAGTGGTAGAGGTCCGCGCCCGGAATCTGAACCTGCGAACCCTGGGCCACCAAAGCAGAGCATGCTGAACTTCACCACTGTGCTGCCGGGCTGGCACCTCAAGTTTTAATAATATCCCCTCCTTGCTCCACTCCCACCAAGTTTTTATAACCAGTAACAAAATTAACTTAGAAATCACTCAAAGTCATGTCAATGAAAGACAACCAATTTTCATTACATGAAGTCCATTTTTTCTCTAACAATTCCTTAACGCCTATCCTGTCTTAGAAGGATTTTTTTAAATTACAATTGTACTCATTCTTCATGTGTAGTTTCTCGTAAACTTATTTCTTATAAAACAATAAACTCACACACGGCAAAGATCCAAAAGAACACGAATTGAAAATAATTTCCTTGGGGCCGGCCTGGTGGCATAATGGTTAAGTGAGCACACTCCACTGCGGCGGCCTGGGGTTTGGATCCTGGGCATGCACCAACACACTGATTGTCAAGCCATGCTGTGGCAGCGTCCCATATAAAGCGGAGGATGATGGTCACGGATGTTAGCCCAAGGCCACTCTTCCTCAGCAAAAAGAGGAGGATTGGTAACAGATGTTAGCTCAGGGCTAATCTTCCTCACACACACACACACACACAAAAAATAATTTCCTTCCACTTATCACATCCAGCCCTCTACCCAAAGGCACCACTCCTGTAACTCTCAAGGATATTTACCAGAGATCCTCCAGGCATCTCAAGTAGCTACAGATACAATGTTCAAAAATGTATACCCTATATTTTCAGTTTTACAGAAAGGATTCATTCATCTCCTGACAAATTCTTCTTAAACATTATTTTTTTAAGTAAAATATTTCATTTAATAGCTATAAAGGTTTACCTACTTGTATTACTACTGCTGAAAATTCAGGATTATCAAAGCAACATGAAACAATACCCCTCAAGTTCAAAGCCAAAAACAGTTTGACTTCCATAGGCAAAAAATTCAACACTGATCTAAACTCACACCATATACAAAAATAAACTCAACAAAGATCATAAATCTAAATGTAAAGTGTAAAACTATAAAACTTTTATAATAAAATACAAAATAAAACCCAGGATTAGGTGAAGTGTTCTTAGATATGACACCAAAAGCACAATCCATAAAAGAAAAAACTGACAAACTGGGCTTCATCAAAATTAAAAACTTTTACATTGCTAAAGACCATTTCAAGAGGTTGAAAAGACAAGGGCATAGATGGAAAGAAAATACTGGTGAAACACATATACAACAGGATGGACCCTGAGGACATTATGCTAAGTGAAATAAGCCAAAAGGACAAATACTATATGATTCCACTTACAAGAGGTACCTAGATTAGTCAAACTCATTGAAAAAGAAGTAGAATGGTGGTTCCCCGAGGCTGGAGGGAGGGAAAATGGGGAGTTGCTGAATAATGGGTATAGAGTTGTAGTTTTGCAAGATGAAGAACACCTTCAGATCAGTTGCACAACAGTGTGAATATGCATAACACCATTGAAAAGTATACTTAAAAATGGTTAAGGTGGTTTAAAAACAAAACAAAGAAATCCCACATTGATAAAGGAATTATATTGAGAATATATAAAGAACTCTGTCAACACTAAGAAAACATACAATCCCATTAGAAAATGGGCACAAGATATGAATAATGAACAGTCACTTCACTAAAGAGAATTTTCAGAAGGCTAATAAGCACATGAAAAGATTTCCACACCACCAGCCATCAGAGACATGTAAATTTAAGCCTCAGTGATATACCACCACACACTTATCAGAATGGGGAAAATAAAAATCTAAAAACCTTGTAATATCAAGTATAGGAAGGACGTGGAGCAACTGGATCTACAAAAACCCTCCTAGCACTAATAAATGAATTTAGCAAGGTTGGAGGCTAAAAGATCTCCTATGGCGACCGTGGGAATTTAAAATGGGATGGCCACTCTGGAAAACAGTTTGGAAGTTTCTTATAAAATGAAATATATATGTACCATGCAACTCAGCAACTGCACTCTTGATAATTTTTACCCTACAGAAATGAAAATGTATGTCTACCAAAAAAGATGTATATGAATGCTCATAGCAGCTTTATTGGTAATAGCCCAAACTAGAAACAACGCCAGTGTACTTTAATAAACAAATGAATAAACAAATTCTGGTACATCCATACGATGCAGCACTACTCACCCAAAAAAAGAACTATTGATACACACTACAACTTGGATGGATCTCAAAAGTACTATTTTGAGTGAAAATAAGCCAGTAACATTAGGTTACTGTAAGCCAAATATATATATACATATATGTAATAATTATGAGATTCTATTTACATATAACTCTCAAAATGACAAAATTATAGTGATGGAGTGCAGGTAAGTGGCAAGGCATTGAGGTTGGGCGAAGAGTGTGATTGTAAATGAAGGAATGTCTTCGTGGTAATGAAACAGTTCCATATTCTGATTATGATAATGGTGATACAACTCTATTCATGTGATAAAACTTCAAAGTCATATACACCAAAGGAAAAAAAAAAGTGCATATAAAAACTGGTGACATTCTAATAAGGTCTGTAATTAAGTCAATAGTATTGTACCAATGCCAGTTTTTTCATTTTGAAAATATACTAGGGTTATGTAAGATGTAATCATTGGGGGAAGCTGGGTAAAGGGTACTTTCTGTACTACTTTTGCAACTTTCTTCAACTCAATTATTTCAAAATAAGTATTTAAAAAATAAGGTTGGGGTAGAAGTTAAGGATTATTCTGGAATTAAAGAGAATTAAAAGACAAAATAGGGCCAGCCCTGGTGGCCTAGTGGTTAAGTTCAGCGTGCTCCGCTTCAGCGGCCCACATATTTGAAAAAAAGAGGAAGACTGGCAGTGGATGTTAGCTCAGGGGGAATCATCCTCAGCAAAAAAAAAAAAAAAAAAAAGGCAAAATAACCAGAGACACCAGCAAAAATGTGGGAGTAAGGATCTCGGAAAATTCTCTTTCATAAAAGCAACAAAAAATTGGCAAAAAAAAATGTCACAAACAACTCTTTCAGAACTCTGGAAATTAACCAAAGGCTTTCAACAATCTGGCAAAACTATTTAAGAAAACTGGCCAAATCTCAGAACAGTCAACTTCGTGGTATTTTAACCTGCCCTGTTTCCATTTCTCCAGCTCCAACTCCATGGTAGGCTTGCAAACCAACAGTCCACACTCACAGTCAAACCAGCAGCCTGGCAGCTACCAGGGGGTTGGAGTCCCTACAAATCCTCTTTACCAGAGAATTATCATTATATGACCTGTCTGGTTGCTCCCATTTGCAAGACTGTCTTATTTGACCTGACTTGGAACTTGTCCAGTGCAAATACCCTTTTCCCAAGGGATGTTTGTCGGAAAAAATTAGAGGCACTTGACCAGCTTCTGAGCTGACCAAGAGGATGCTAACAATTGGGCAAACAATAAGCTACCCAAAAAGCTTTAAAGGAAAAGCTGGAGAATGAAACATCCACAGGGGCTTTGAAAAGCTCCAACATATTTCTGGCAATCTAGGAAGCAACACACACATGTAGGACTGTGTGCATACCCAGGGCTGTGCACATGCCCAGGACAGAACTAAGAAGGACCAAAGCTCTCACCTCTGGCTGCCTGTGAGGCTCTGTGCAAGCAGGAAGAGAAGGGTAAGGCAGAGTTGTAAAACAGGGTACCCACCCCAGGACACACACAGAGCCCCCTGGCAAACAACGGGAGACTTACTGGTTCCCGGCATTCAAGCAAAGTTGTTCTATCACTAGCTGACTACAAAGTTAACTGAGTAGAGAATTCAGTGGCCATACTAGACAAAGATATAGAGGTTAAAGAATTAGTTCAGAAAAGTCACTAAACAAACAACCACAACTACAACAAGCAGGAGCCAACAACAAACGCCAGGCAGAGGTGGAAATCTCATTTTCAGAGTTCATTATATTGTTTAAAATGTCTAGTTTTCAACAAAAAATCCTGAAGTATGTAAAGAAACAAGAAAGTACTGTCAAAAACAGCAAAAAAAGCAGTCACTAAAACTGCCACTAAGAAAGTTCAGATGTTAGACTTACTAAAGAATTTCAATTACCTATTTTAAATATGTTCAAAGAATTAAAGGAGATCATGGCTAAAAATCAGCATGAAAATGACGACTTAGCAAATAGAGAATATTACTAAAGAGATAGAAATGATAAAAAAGACCAAACAGAAATTGTGGAGTTGAAAAGTATAAAAACTGAAGAAAAAAATCAATCGAGGGACTCAAAAGCATATTTCAGCAAGCATAAGAAAGAATCAACACACTTGAAGACAGGTCAGTTGAGATTATCCAGTCTGAGAAACTGAAAAAAAATGAGAGGAAAAATAAACAGAGCCTCAGAGATCTTTGGGACAGCAATAAGTATACCAACATATGCATAATAGGAGTCCTAGAAGGAAAAGAGAGAAAGGGGCAGAAAGACTATCTGAAGAAATAACAGCCAAAAACTCCCCAAACTTAATGAAAAACATTAATCTATACATCCAAAAGTTCAATGACTTCCAAGTAGGAAAAACTGAAAGAAACCCACACCTAGACACATCATAATTAAATTGTCAAAATGCACAAGTATTTAAAAGTGAAATTCTGTAATTTAACTGCACCAAAAAAGGTAATATATGGCAAAATATTAAAACAGTTAAATCCAGTTGAATATT